GAGGAACCTGGTTGGGTTGGTCTTTTCCTCGGCTTCAGCTACGCTTAGTACTGGTTGGCTTCATATCAGAGGGGCTACAGACTTGGACTGGGGCCGGCGCTGGGTTGTTTGATGGTCTTGTAATTAGTTCTCGTGCGGGCATGACTCAGGGATGGCAGGTGTGGGGCCGTAGACTTAGTTAGCTTAGGATTAGTGGTATGCTGGTTAGCGGTATTCCTGTGCCAACGGGGGCTCGTCGTCTGTCAGTATTGGCGGTACGTGTTTAAATAAAATTAGATTGAATTCTAAGTACTTTTCCTACTTATTACTTTAACGAATATAAAACACCTTTACAATCTTTATCTTTATCGCAACATTATCGTTACGCCAAGGCAATCTCTTCACGAAGAAGAGTTCGAGAAAGCTTACGATAGGAATTCCTCATAGAAGACAGAGGTCTTGTACTATTGGTAACGTAGGCAGGTGCCTAGTGCTATCGTAAGATGAAGAAAGAAGAAGAAAGAGAAGAGAAGTATCGTTCCCCGTCGCCAAGAACTAACCATCTAAGGAGGGACTGTTACACTAAGCTCTTTTTCTCATACACCAACCAAATCTAATTGGTATATTTTTAGGGCACAATCCCCATCTAAAATATCTTTTAGTTATATAAACACTTGAATCTTCATTAAAGTACTTACTTCTTGCGTGGTTTTCTTTTATTTAAATTAAGACTCTTAGCTGCCTTCCTAATTGTCCTGGATGATGCCTTTAATCCCTTCTCTTCTTTAATATCCTCCCAAGAGTGTCTTCTATTTCTTTTATTTTCTTTAATAAAAGACTTTGAATCAAGTAGATCAGACTCGTGGAAGATTGGAGGTCTTCCTATTTACTGATAGTTGGAAGGACTACCTGTTTCCCGATACCATTGATAGATGCGAGCACAGGTACTATGGTGAACTTTAAGGCCTATTTTTTCCTGCAATTTGGCAGCAATCTTTCTGAAAGACCACTCCACTATTTCTTGGAGAGAAATAATACGGATCCCGTTATCACATGTGGTTTCCCCCTCGAAGCGCTGTCGCTTCTTCGTCAATGATTGCCACTGCTCAAGATTTCGTGGACTAATCGCTAAATCATTTAATTTTATTATTATTTCAACTTTATGTACATATTCATTTAATTAAACTACTTATGCTCACTTCTGCGGGTTCCCTTTACCCTCATAGTGCTTTTCTGAAATGGTTTGGCAGGTGGTGGGGGATATAGTGAGTATTGTAGTGATAGGGGTTGGGAGTAGAGTTGCGATCTTGTGGGAAGCGGTTGCTACTGTGTCGCACTACTTCTTTCCCCCCCCCTCGTACAGCACTGTACTCGTACTGTACCCTACTGTAGCATCCGCAAAGTTCCCATAGAGTCATACCTCAGGTACTGGTACCATCAACTCCCGCCCTCGATAGTGAGACAGGGATGACTCTGGCAACCGCAAATTCCATCCAAGATATTCACTTTTTTTTCTCCGGCAAATAAAGTTCTGCACTCTTCCAGTTGGGCGCTGCCAGGGCTTTGCGGTACATCGGGTCTTACATAGTCAGTATAAATTTATCCAACTAATATCATACCAATCTGACTTCTAGCAAAACACAACCACCATAGGCAACGAGAATTTTGCGGACGGACGCGAGTGTACTCGAGCAACTTACGAGTATAGTACGAGCACAAGACGAGGTCTAACCTAGCACCAACACCGTACTTGTACTCTAAGGTTAAGACCACTTGTTGCAGATAACAGGTACAAGTATCCGAACACACGAGATAAACATATGTATGGCTAATTGTCTGTGCGTATCGCTACACCCATACAGAATTCAGAGCGGAATGTTAGAGTACCCCCTTTTTTTATTATTTCTGCTTTAAACACTTTTTCTATTTCGGGCGCTATTGGCTGTCTATCCTCGCCTGCTCTTGCTCGGGTACTGTACTGGTTGCCTGTATCGAGTGATACGGGCAGCTCTTTTCACCGGCTACTCAATTCCCAATGACATGGAATCGTTTGTGGACACATACTGGGCGCCGGTACTGGCATCGCCGTTTACAATTTCCAGAGTCGGGTCCTCCCGAGTTCCGTATCCAGATACCTTATGAAGCTCTATCTCCTTATCCGGGAAGGGGGGGAGTCTGCGGAACATTTCCTACTTAAGAATTTATCCACCAAATGTGGGGTCGCGGCTTGGATTTTCGTCTTCGATAACGACACCGCCAGGTGGGGGCTATCTGCTGATATATGATCGATTTTTGCCGCCTAGGGCAATGTTCAAGCGCCTCTTGTCTCTCGGGGCTGGTAACATGCAGGTACCGGTGTTTGTGTGGAAATGTATCCCAACAACAACTTACTGGCACTTGAGCGCCCCTATCGCGCAGCTTTAATTGAATAAGGTTACAGGTGAGTTAGGTTTGGAAACAATAGAATATTTGAAAGTCCCGCCACACCCTTCTACGGGTGCTGCACAGTTCGGGTAAGTACGGTGAACTGCTCATCCTGTCCCAATGCAGGTTCTTGGTCCATGAGACATGCTTTACCCAGAGTTGTCTCAGCCTTGAGAGCAGAGGAAAGGTGGTGTACTGTACGCTAATTCCCCCTCAGCCAAAGAAATGCCTTCGCTTCATGTCTCTCTTTGATCCATACTGGCGAGGATCGGGAAAGAACAAAGTAAACAAGGAGTGGCTTTAATGATTGATCCGGAACCTTCAATGACTTGCGCTAGCGACTTGGCAACTGGACGTCAAGGACTCAAGAGTCGAGGCACCTCCACGGTTACTTGGAGAGTTTGTCATGAGTTTTTTAAACCGGAATCTCCACGAGCCAGGGCACCACTGCATGGCGAGCCAACTGTATAACGAGGATTCTCGTACAAATAATCCTTGTCCTATAGAGTCTGTATGGGCGTTCTTGTATCACAGTGCTCTCGCTTTCTTAGGGGCTACTTTGAGTCGGCAGTCGTACCGTATGGCATCCTGGGATTACTATCCGATATTTTCGCCTCTATTATATAAATGAGGGTAAGGGCAGTGAAAAGCGATGGCAGATGCAGCTTATTGTGGTGCGACACAAATAACCGAATGCCACAAGTCCAACAATCAAATTTTCCTGCCATACTTGTACGAGCACAAACATCTCTATGGTGTTCCACAGTACGAGTATGGCCATTTATCAAAATAGGTCAGGTGGGGGGGTGGGGTTTCACAACACAACAGACTACCGTATCGTACGTAGACTTGAGTAGTTACCCTAGTTGGGAGGCATCAATTGATATCATATTATTTCTTTGGTTGAAAGCAATCCCGGCAGAACTGATGTGGTTTTTTGAGAGTTTAGGGGAGACAGGTTGAAGCCCGCCACTCTGCCTTGTGGAGATAGGATCTAGGATTTATCTGCGGCACCAACTTGACGCGGTGAACTTGGGACCTGGGAAAAAAAAATCTCTTCAGATTCCTACAGTGTCGGCGCTCGCACTATACCTTAGGAAGCGGCAGAGCTAGGATGTTTTGCATTAGAGAGAATTGATCTCGTAGTGCGAGCACAATTGGGGTAACTTATATCAATGTTACTACAGCACGCGACTACTCACACCTGACCAGAAGTACCTCGAGGGCAGGGGATTAAAGGAATATATGGTGGAAAGTGCATATCTGAGCACCCATATACATAGTGCGCGGATACCCCCCCTTGTTTTCTGGTACTTCTGGACTAGGACAAGAAGATAAGCGTCTTTACTCTGGCTTGACTTTTATCTGCTTTTGAATAATAAAATCTCTGTCCGGGCACCCTGGCTGGGTCCGCCTTTTTGTGAAACTCTATTTGAACCGACATCCCATTGCAGGTTCTACAACGCTTATTTTCCAGCCACAGTACCGTTTCAGCACATATGTGTGCAGTACTGGTACTCTGATGGTGGAATCTCTTGCGGGGGCCGGGCAGGGGTAAATGGTGGGGGGGGTATGAGGTGCTGTACTCGTACTGTACCTGACAAGAAGAAGAAAAAGGAAGCTTTACTTTGGTTACTCAATTCGAGGACTCTTAGATAGAGCTCTTTAGGGTTGATAGCGTATCGTAAGCTGATGGGGATGTTTTTTAACCGGATGGATTTACGACCCCATATGCCTAGTTTTGGGCTACGTCTCTTAAACTTATCACTCGGGCTAAAAGTAATGGTGGGATCTGTCTACAGTATTCGCAGATCTGCGCTTGCTATCAGACCTCTATAGGTGCTACTCCATTACTCGTGCGGTACAAGGGGAGTGGTCCGATCTCTTGTGTGGACAATTCTGGCCTACCAACTCAAAAGGGGTGCCACAAAGATTGTTGGGTCTACAGAGCTTTCCTCCATTGGACGGTGAAGGCGGGCTGGGGTGAGTTTGCAGCACATAGTTGACCCTATTTTGGCGGTCCCGGAACTCCTGCTCGGAGTCAGTAACATGGGTGATGTGTGCGCTGCCAGACTTTTGGGTCGCACCGGGAAAGCACATAAGTTATTATGGATCCCCCTTCTTCACAGAAAATCTTTCCATATTTTGTTGCTCAATTAGCCTCTACTACTCCACGGCATTGAGAAGTGGATAATCGCGTGTCAGCTGCGCAACTTCGAAGGGTTCCAAGAGCCTTTTTTTCACTGAATTGGCCTCCGGATAGCATAGCTGTGCGGTAAAGCCAGGATGCCGTTTTTCCGCTGCGGCAGCCGTTCAATGGCAGCCGTATTTCCTGCGCTGTTTCTAGCGTTCGAAGTTTTATTGGCTTCACTATTTTTTGCCAATGTTGAAGCGTTGCATTCAACTGACACGATTACGAGTGGTGGAGATAATACTAGATCTGGTTACCAGCCGTAAGTACTCTGACTCCCTGGTTTTCACTTTGTTGTTGGTCAATTGCGGATTTTCAAGTGATCTGCAATGTATATGAATAACCCTGTAAATCTTTGGAGGATGTGAATCACTGACATATTTGGAATGTATCTAGAAATCATAACATGGACCCTTCCATAATAGCGTCGCCTCAGTTTGGGATAATATGGAGGAAGAAATTGCGAGGAAACTATAGAGGATGGACAGAGCAGGTAAGCAGATCACGATTCATGAGATAGGTGATTTCATTTCTATTTGATTGGGATTGTTAATAAATGGGAAGATATTTGCGCAAGCTCTGGTTTATACCCCCGATGATACACAATTCGTCTATGTCGCGTCCCAGATGAACATGTAAGGCCTAGCATGAAATAAGTTGGTCTTACGCACTCTTTAACCATCTGTATTAGGGTCTATAAGATTGACGCCAAAACTGGGGATATTTTGATCTCCAGGAACCTAGTAATTCCATTTCTGGTCTCCGAGCTAGATGATTGTAATGATATTAGTTTTGTTATTGGAAGCACAGTAAGGATTCCCGGAGTGCGGTGTTAGATTCCCAATCTAACCTCAAAGCAAATTTCAGGCTACGGGTGTTATTGACGACAAGACCAATACTTGGTATCTTACCACGAAGACATACCGCGATCAGAATGATGTCGAGAAGGGTAGGGCGAATGGACGCTGTATGTTCTTTCCCGGACTATATAGGCATATGCCTGGGAGATAAGTGACTGAACTGACACAAAATAGATCTCATTCACGCTTTGGATACCCGGACACTGGAGGAGAAGCCGGGCTATCCAGTTGATCTCGAAGGACTTATTGCTAGAAACAACCCAATCAGGATGTTCCAAGGGGGTATCCACCATCAACGCCCAGCATTGATGCAGAGTGGTCCATACATCTATGCGGGTTTCGCGAGCCGTATGCATAACCCAGACTCTCTATTGTGTTTACCAATTCCAGAGGCTCACCCAGTTCAACAGATTGCGTACAGTATAACTTTACCGGCTGGATCATTGGTTGGAATGGCCAAACGGGACAGATTGTGGAGAGGTTCGCTACTGAGGGTGGGCCCGAAGATAAAAAAGGTGGTGGTGTATGGATGAGCGGTGGTGGTCTTGCTCAAGACTCTCGTAGGTTCCTTTTGTGCAACTGTATGCTTGTGTGACTCGAGTATTCTGGCGCTCTGGGTTATTAATACTTTCACTGGGTACAAACTCTTTTTCGTTGAAATTTGGCTAATATTAATGCAGCTGGCCGTATGTTTTTTGCTACTGGGAACGGGTGAGTGCTTTTATCGCTGTTTCTCATGTTTTTGTGGGACAAAAGCTGACAGTTTTCATAGGTATGCTTCACAACTTAGCACAATTCCGGTCCCAGGGCGGCAGCCTCCCACAGCTCTGGAGGAGGCGGCTGTTCACGTGGCGATTAATTCCGATGGTACCCTCGACGTAATAGACTTTTGTATGTTTCACTTCCGGCTCTTGCGGTAATACTCACTAATCATATGTGTACCACTTACAGTCATGCCATGGGAAAAGGTAAAAACCTTTACTATGTCTCAGCTATCATATTTGGGGAATTAGACGAGCTAACATCCGTTTTCAGCAAGCTCTAGATGGCGCAGATAAAGATCTTGGAACTTCAGGTATTGCATTACTGGACCCTACAGTTTTTAGGACGCCGACAGTAGCACGGATTGGGTGTATTGCGGGGAAGTCGGGAAAACTGTATTTCTTGAACCTTGAGTTAGTCTTTTCCGATTCCAATTTTTCGGTGGTTGTACTAATTGGGGGTGTGACAGCGACCTCGGGGGCTACCAGATGGGCCCGAATAAAAAGGACGCTGTTCTTCAGACAACAGAATTGCTTAATTCAGTATTCGCAACTGCAGGGTCGTACCCCCTCGAGGGCGGCTATGTTTACGTATGATACCTCTGGGCTCGCGATTTCATTAGACCGCTGCTGACATGAGTATAGGTCAATGTTGTTCAACACCCTACTGTTGTGTTCAAGTTTAGTGTTGGACCAAATGGCGAACCAGTGTTCACACAGGTTGCGCAGTCTAATGAAAAGACAGCCTTTGTGCTTGGGGTTGGTCATGGCACATCGACATCTCTAAATGGGCAACCAGGGACGGGTTTGTATTGGGTCACAGATATCCAGGGTCTCAATCTCCGGATTTATAAGGCTGTTCCAGAGAATGGAGTACTGGTTCTCCTAAAGGGGTTAAACATCCCAGCCCAAATCAAGTTCAGTAGGCCTACCTTCGGGAATGGCAAAGCATATTTGACAACGAGTGATGGGTAAGTTGGATAACACCTGGCCGAACAAAGGATGGATGGATATGCTGATTAATGTAGAAATCTTGTTGCCGTGGGATCACCTGTGAACCCTCCGATGAATTGTTCATCGCCGATTGAGTTCGGCAATGCCACTATTGGGGGGGCTGGTGTGACCAAGACCCTTATCTGCAGAGCAAATATTGCCGTTTCAGTAACTGGAATTGGTCCTCGCATGGCTCAGTACTTCTCGGTTTCTGATCTCCCAAATTTCCCTTTGGCGCTGACAGCGGGCCAAACTGTTAGCTTCAAAACTACATTCAAGCCAACCGCGCCAGGCCCGCTCTCAGATGACATTTACGTCAATACTGCTAATTCAATTGCAAACTATGCTGACAATACACCCATTGCCGTACGCGGTGTCGCCACTTCCCTTACACCTGTTCTCTTTATTAGCCCTAACACTGTTTCTTTTGCTGGTATAATCACGGGGGAAAACCCTGATGGCTTTAACCGTGCGGTTATGATACAAAATCAAGGTGGTACAGAGCTAGTCATTACAGAGATAAAAGTGAGCAATACTGGGGAAGCAGGGCCCTTCTTGCCTCCGGGAACCACGGTCGCTGGGCCTTTCACATTTACAGGGTTACCGACAACCATTCCTCCAGAGTCTTCTGTAACTGCTAATATCAATTTCAAACCTACTACTGACGGGAACTTCGGAGCTTATGTGCAGTTCAAGACAAATGGTATGATATATCTCCGATCGGAAAATAGTGCTAAACGTGATATATGCTAATTTTTAAACTAGGGGGTACCAAGTTTCTGACTGTAGTGGCCACTGCCGGCAGCCACCCGAAGGCACTAATCGAATTCGAAAAGGTTGATGGATCTGGGTGGACTGCATATCAACCCGGTGTGCCTTTCAGCTTTGGCACTGTTTTCCAGCAGACTACCAGAACTCTGAGGATGAGGCTTACCAACTTCGGCAATGCGTCAGTATATTATACGGCTTTTCCCTAAGTTTTAGATACTGACAAGGTATAGGAACGCGAGTGTACTGCATGTTACAGTCTCCAAGCCGCCTATTGGTGCTGGTAAAGTCGTTGGGTGAGGCCACCTTATAGCAACCGCTTTATAGTTGAGGCACACTGACACTTTTAAAATTAGTGCACGCAACGGAATTGATCTGGGTGAAGGGACAGAGCTTGCGGCTGGGCAATCTGCCACCGCACAGCTATTCTGCTCTGTCCCCAAGTCTCAGGTTAATGTGGATGCATATGTCGCCAACTCGACTTGGACCATGAATACCAACGACCCCACAATGGGGAAACAGGACATTGTATTTGCTTGTGATGCTGTTTCAGAACAGCTTGGGCCATTGAAGGCAAATTCACAAGGGAGATATCGGTACATTGGCTGCTTCAAAGAGAATAATCCTGGACGGCAGCTCTCAAACCAGCTCTACGGCGCAGATGATAACGAGAACGGAAAATGCATGAGTGGGTGCGCTGGGGCTGCCCAGAATTTCATCTTTGCAGGGACCCAATACCACCGTGAGTGCTGGTGTGGCAATAAAATCCCCACTCAAAAGGTCGGTGAGGAAGATTGCAACTTTGACTGCTCAGGGTAAGGGTTAACTCAACTTCGCTCTTGGGTAATTTCTAAATTCTTGCGCAGAAACGGCACCCAGCTCTGTGGAGGCAATGGTTACTTTGGCGGTGGCTCGTACATTAGTTTATTCGCGGATTCGGATCGGCACAATCCCGGAGATCCTGTGTCTTCGACTACGACCACCGGAAGTCCGACTGGCTCACCAACGCCTACTCCTACGGGTGGCCCAATTGACAACCCCGGAAACTCCAACTTTAGTTTTGCTGGCTGCTACACAGAGGCTACTACTGGTAGGGCATTGTCAGTGCTTACCGGATCCGACACGATGACCGTTGATACCTGTCTTGGAATCTGCAACTCATATGAGTATGCCGGTCTCGAGTATGGAAGGTATGCGCCTGGATGAAACGAAAGCTCGAAAATTACTAAATTGTCTTAGGGAGTGTTGGTGTGGCAATACACTAGGAACAGGCGCTGTCATCACAGGTCTTACGCAATGCAGAATGCTTTGCCAAGGTACAAATTTCTCTAATATCCCTTTATTATGCATACTTTCTCACTTGAAGCTCTCAATTTAGGGAATCAATTTGAATACTGTGGAGCTGGAGGTAGATTGAGCTTATATACGAAAAAGAAGGCGGTAACAACAACCACAGTAACTAATTCTACAACCAGTTCGAGCGCTACGGGAAGTACAAGCTCAACTACCACTACCACTAGCACCTCGTCATCTCAATCTCCTAGCCCCACAGGTCCAGTTGACAATCCCGGCAATGCTGCCTATGGCTTCATCGGATGTTATACCGAGCCGCCGATAGGGAGAGCTTTAACTCTGTTGACTGGTTCTGATACTATGGATGTTAACACTTGCCTTGGTATATGTAGTGCTTATGAGTACGCTGGTCTTGAGTACGGAAGAGAGTGCTGGTGTGGGAATACGCTTGCGGTAGGAGCAGTTACGGTTGATGTTTCACAGTGCCGAATGACTTGTAAAGGCATGCTCATTCACTATTCCTCGTATGTCTGGGGAGTTTCTCATTGAGGATTTTATTTTTTTAGGGAATCCGCTTGAGTATTGCGGATCTGGGAACCGGCTGAGCTTGTATCAGAAGAAGGCAGTGCTTACCACAACAACGAACTCAGGAATAACGTCGAGCACTAGTTCCAGCAGCTCCAATGTAACTACTATCATGACGGGCACTAGTACTAGCACAAGCACCTCATCTTCAGCGTCCTGGACTCAAACCGGACCGATAGACAACCCCGGTAATGCTAACTATAGCCTTGTCGGGTGTTATACGGAGCCACCTACTGGGAGGGCATTGAGTGTTTTAACTGGCGCTGGTGATATGACAATTGACAAGTGTTTTGAAATTTGCAGTGCTTATACATGGGCTGGCGTCGAATATGGCAGGCATGTATTCCATCCGCCTGGGGTGACTGGTGTGCTAATAATATTTTTAATAGGGAATGTTGGTGCGGAAACACACTCGCAAGCGGTGCTGTCCCCGCTCCTCAAACAGAATGTCGCATGAAGTGTGCCGGAAATGCATTGGAATACTGTGGCGCTGGAAACAGATTGAGCCTGTACAAGAAAAAGGACTTGAACCCTTCATCCTCTTTGTCGGTTACAGGCTCTACGAGCTCTGCTTCGGGCACGGGCACCTCTGGATCTGGGAACACTACTGCAACCTCAACTTCGACTTCTGCGACTCCAACACCAACTGGGCCGACTATCAATCCCGGAAATACAAATTATACATACCTGGCGTGTTATACCGAGGCCACAACTGGACGGGCTCTTAGCGGTAAATCGCTAGCCTCAGATGACATGACTGTGCCCAAATGCCTTCAGGCTTGTGCGGGATTTAGATACGCTGGGCTGGAGTATCGCCGGGAGTGTTACTGTGGCAACACCTTCAATGCTGGCGCAGTTGTTGCACCAAGCACCCAATGTAGTTTGACTTGTATGGGGTATGTATTTAATTAGTAAGTTCTTCTATTGAGTGAGTTCCGGGGGGGGGGTTGAGACTGACATTGGTATAGTTGTGGTGGTGGGAGCAGATTAACGGTATACGAGAGGAGGAATGAGACGGTTTCTAGCACTAGCTCAAGTTCTACTAGCTCGCCAAGTGCTGGCTTGGGCGCTGTTGGGGCATTTGCTCAGATGTCTAGTGATTCGAATTCTACATCCACTAGCATATCCACTGCTTCTCAATCAGGCTCCACTTCAAGTACATCTAGCTCAACTACGCCCGCGAGCGTTACGGGGAGTTCCTCGATTTCATCGACCTCATCTGGGAATGCAACCCAGACCTCCTCGTCTTCAACATCGACATCAACGTCGACTTCAACAAGTGGTACCACTTCCGCGACACCAACAGCATGGTCTTATCTAGGATGCGCAAAGTAAGTACCACGTACTTGACTACCCTCCCGATAATGGGTGTATACTGACGTCTTCTAGCGAAACCGACCCTCGTGCTCTTAATGGTGGTCGGCTGACTTCCGAAAGTATGACGGTGACCAAGTGTCAGGCGTTCTGTATTGATCGGAATCTCACTCTTTCCGGACTTGAAGCTGGTAACGAGTAGGTACCCTGTTGGCGTCTAATGTGGGATAATCGGGTTTAACAATTCATAGATGTTACTGCGGAACGGCGCTACAAAGTCACTCGACATTAGGCTTCACAGGATGCAATACCGCTTGTTCTGGTAACTCGTCCGAGATCTGTGGTGGATCTGACAGACTCGGCGTCTACAACTACACCTTGATGAAACCCCCGGCGGTGGCCCACGTTGCAGCCGTTGAGACGTATGTCCTATTCGCCTCCTGATAGCTCCACGAATGCGGATACTGATATTGGGATTGACAGATACATTACCCAGGGATGTTACACGGACGATGCTCTTTCCGGCTTCTCCTTCACCAACAGTACTGGAATGACGGTTGAGTTCTGCGTAGGAGCATGCAGAGGAAGAAACAGCACCTATTCAGGTCTCGAATCCGGCGAACGGGTATGAAATGCGCCCATTATATCCGCGCGAAATATTTTGGCTAATTATTTTGCGACAGTGCCACTGTGGAACTACCCTAGCATCCTCTGCCTCAAGACTGTCCGATGCAGAATGCAATATACCCTGCACGGGTAATGTTCGCGAGTATTGTGGAGCAGTAAAGTAAGTACAGTATTATCAAGTCTTCGCTGCCGTTGCTGGACACGAACGCTTGAAACTAACCTACCCAATAGTAAGCTGAGCCTGTACATGAACCAGCCCTCGAATATCACGACCGCGGGACTTCCAAGTCTGGTAGATAATATTGCGGAATAGGGCGGGATTCCGCGGGAAAGTGGAGAGGGGAAGCGCGAGGGAACATGAGAAAACTCTAAGTGATAGTGTTTAATGACTCGATTATGGGACATGGGGAGTTTGCGTTACGCCGCATATTAATGTAATTTTTATTCTCATATACGATGAAGAAAGAGAGAAAGGAAGGAACGAATGAATCGATTAATAAATTCAAAGTTAGCTGCTCAATAAATTGGCAATGGTTCACTCAGCGCCGACGTCTCCTAATCGGGAAATCTTGTGTTATCGCAGTCTTGATCATGGGGCCTGCACTGGATTCTGAAAAGGGATCGAATATTGTGATTGGTGAGTGAACTGGGTAAGAATAATATGTGGCCTACCCTATTAGCATTACCGTAGTGTTCACAAGCATACATACGGAGCGGACCAATAGTGAACTAAATGAAATCTCTGTTCGGAGGGGGGGGGGTAACAATGGTAGGTAACGCATGGTTACTTGTAACTACAGTAACTTTGTCCGCCAGTCCACAAATGACATCCGGAAGAGACAGAAGGTATATATTATTAAATTAGAATGGATCCCAAGACCATCTCCTGTTCGCTGAAGGCATAACGTTCTAACAAAGCGAGGGGAAATAAGAAGTGAAGTCTCCGTAGTCTCCTGTGACGGGAGACAAATAGTACAGACTTCCCACTTCCAAGGTTTTATCTTTTTTTTTTTTTTTCATCGATAACATCGTGTCGAAGTACCTTCTGCAACCCTCTCAACACATCCAAGGTTACACGCGCATTGGGCAACCCTGCAGGAACTAACATACGGTACGCACAACGTAAGGCATGGCGCCCGATCCGAGGAAAAAACCCTTTTGGGTAAATCACGCACAGGCACTCGAGGCACGCAACCTCCTCCCGTACTGGTACTGTACAGTACGAGGGATCTTTGGAACGGGGAGCAAATGACGCTTTCTACAACATCTACGATACATGCATACATTCGCTATAACCGAACCCTACACTCCCGGTTTCAGAACACCGCAAGAGCATCCTGATATGCCGCCCTTGTCTGATTCCCCGCAGCCTCCACCACGTCCTGATCGTCGGGCGCGAGCTTCTCCACCAATGCCGTCCAAAAACCGTTATTGTCGCGAGATAACTGGAGTAACTGGTTCCTGACTTGCGTGGTTACTCCCAGCGCGGCAAACAGCGGTGCCTATTCCTAGTCAGAAACAATACCGGGAGGAATTGAGAAAAGAAAAAGAAAAAAAGGTACGATATTTACCTTAGCACTTAATTCTGCTAGCCCAATGATGTGCGTAGGCCCCAACGGGACAACCAACACTGTCAACTTAGAACTTTCTAAAGCCGAGTAAGTCGACATGACGATGTCTGCCGTGGCGAGGTTGAGGTCTGTGTTGAGTTTTCCGGCAGCGGCACTAATGGATAGTGCTTCCTCTCGGGTCCCGGTGAATGCTTCTACCTCTGCTTGGAGCACGGATTGGTCATGTATTATGGTATTGATTTTTGCGATGGTTGAGGTGTGGTCTCTGGGTTCGAGGGCCGGCGTGGGGAGGCGAAGGGAGGCCGTGAAGGGGGAGGAGGGGAGGAGGAGGAGGAGGAGGAGGAATAGGAGGGGGTTTGGGAAGTGCATTGTTTTTTCTTCCTCACGGGAGTTTGGGAAATTCGGGATTGTGGGGTGTAAGGGTGGTGGTGGTGTATCGAAGTGTGTGTATGATATGTGGATGAAGGAAAGAGGATGATCGATCACTGCATTTCCCTGCACCGTTCCCGCCTATTTAAGGTGAAATACATAGTAGCCAAGACTTGTCTACTGACTCTCCTATACCCTAACTCTCATACAGATAACTCCTGTACCTATGCCTACTAACACCGCTAACATGGGGCAATTGGTGGGTCTTAATACCTTTTAGATGTGGATACTCGCTCCAGGTTACCTTTCTTTCATCCTTGTGGATAAATAGAACTGCTGCCACCGAAGATGCACAATCCGCATTGCCGCAGTAGTGATGGATTAGGGAGGTGTGAGACCGCTTGAAGCGGTATCATCCGATCTCCCAGTCTAAAGGTCGACCATCGTAAAATAATAATGATAATCTGACTCTGATACAAGGGGTTTCATGCGTCTGGGAGAAATGACTCTCTTGTCCATAAAGTCACTAAACCTGAACTCATGGTAGTGCCCATAACGCTACGAGAAACTCAATACTGATCTACATGAGTTCACTATAAACATCTCAGAACGCCGGATTCATAACAAATAGATAAACGTCCAATACTGTGGTAACGCATTAACACTGGCAATTGTCGTCATCATTAGAAGTCAAACAACCTTCCATTACCTGTATAAGCCTACCTATTTTACTATTGATTTATTCCGCAGCCAACCCACCCTCTCAAGCATCACTGAAAACATCTGTAGGAGTTTAATTAGATAGGGATGATATATTAACAAGACTTTGATGTTTTCTATATTTCACTTTCTTTATCAATCGACCTGTAATTATCTCATTCGTACTGATGCCAGTGCACAAGGTATTAATTAATTACTCCTTCTGTGGTCAACTCTCCAAACCATAGAAATTAAATATGGTGACAACTTGAAAGCAATAACTAAATAGCGCAGATAAACTTTGTTTGAAAGTTTAAAGAATAAAGGTTGGAATGACCATTAGTAGAGAGGGCTACTGAATACTATGATATGTTGAGTTCATATAATTAGGAGACACTAGAGAACTCAAAACTCAGAATAAGTATAGGGAATGGCCTATAAAGTAAGCCAACAGATACAGCAAGTGTTACTTACAGGAGTAGTACTAGGGCGAAATGGGGAAGGAAGGTGGTTTATTTGGAAAGAATTGGATAAAGATATGCTATGGCTATTTGGTTCCATGCATAAATCAAAAAGGAAGGGGAAAAACTGTTATCATCTGTTCTAGATTGTGAGGCTGATTGGGGCAAGGCTGATTGGGGCAAGGCTGATTGAATCAAGGCTGATTGAATCAATACAGATTACTGGTGATGTTTATTAGTAAATATATTTCAAGTATAGTATGAAAGCGTGGGGTAGTATACACCGGGAATCTGTAGCAGTTGTGAGACTAAGGACCTGCTAGTAGTAGTGATATTAGATCTATGGAGAGGTTTGTACAAGTCAGGTATTTGAGTAGTAAATAGTGGGGGTTAATAATCTTAGAGGTTATGGAATAGTAATAATTGGATGGAGAATGGAGAGGAGGTCGTATGAAGATAGAGGTAGTATGTTGGAGTGTAGAATCTACTGACAACTTGGTAGGTGGTATTCTACGTTTACTGCACTATATTAGTGTAGTATTACAAGCAAAGGGGAATTGGATAGGATAGATGTGCACAGTATAATGAATTGTATTTTATTATTATTTTCAGTTGGAAAGTGGTTAGTCCTTAGTACTTGTGCATTTAACTTGCTATTCAAACGATTTGTGATTTACAAATATAAGAACAGGTTGAAGAGCCAGAGTATTCAAGCAAAGACCAACTGATCAGGATGATACAGCAATCCTAGAATTTCATTAGTGTGTTGACTCTTCGCAATAAACTGCCACAAAGACAACTATTTTTCAAGTAAAGAGAACTTTGGAAGATCAATGGCCAGGGCTTAGGAAGTGGTGGGTATTTATGATTGAAAACTACCTTCATAGAACACGTGACTAACTACGCGAGCTTCATCAAACTAGTTTTAGATAAAGAATTGCCTTGAATAGTTATTCAGAGCCCCATGTTGCTCGAATTGCGCTTTTTGTAGAATCGTCCACGCCCAAACTGCTGATGCGGGGGGGGGGGGTTATTTGGTTTCCTATGGATGGTGCTACGACGTTCACACAGAAAGTTCTAACCTGAGCCAAATTATGAGGGAGGGAGAGATTATTTTTGTTGACTCGCCGGTCTTGTGTTTCGTCGTCCATTGTATTTCGAGTAATGGAGCCGGTTCTAGTTTTGATCCAAGTTTGGTCGACATTGTGATCTGGAACAGGTATATTCTAAGACGGATTATGGCCGAAATGGTTATAACAAAATCCTAGTTAACGAAGCATTATACCGATATTCAAGGTAAAGGAGACAGGCAGCTTTTTGTTGTGTTTGTGAGCTAGTGTTAGGTGTTAGCTCCTCTTCGTATAGTGGAGTTACGGAATTATTGAGTTTCTAAGCTTCCTTGTATCATAACAAGCAAGTGCCAATTCATTTGCTCATTGGTGCTTATCTTCCCTCTTATTTCGTTTTATGCCCCCCTAGGTTTTCCCTAGCATAACCAAATACTTGATACTGCTTAATTGGTCACAGAAGAAAAAAACTCAATTCTATACTTTCTCCAATTCATCAAACTTCTCATATATTCTCCTATCTGTGAGGGCCAAGATATGATTGGAAAGAGAAAGGTTGGGGGGGGGTGAACCGAGCTCGGGACGAGGCAAATTCAATAAACTCTTCTATTGGTGTTTCAAAGCACTTGGATATCCTGGATGCTGAATTTTTACTTCAACTGCGCCACCTATTACAAAACACGCTAGCTCCCGCCAGAAGAGCATCCAGGGCGTAGCATCCATACAACGTAACAACCCACCTCATAGAATAACGGCCTGGGGGATACCCAAAAGCTTCCCGTATCTTGGAGCTGGCGATAGCAGATGGCTCTCCTAGATCTTACATCTGCCTCTCCAACGCGCAAGATTACATAATTCGTCATGGTCGGCCGGGATATTAATTCTCAATATCAGCAAACCCAACAAAGACGCTGCAGCCCATTCAGATTCGTTTCACTCAAAAACATAGACTTCCAGTTGGCATGGAAGGCCAAGATGTGCGGGGCTAATAACCAAGGCCCTTTCCCTAATCTCGTCATATCGTTAGGAACCCTTGCCAAGAATTTTTCTTCATTGTCCGGAGTTGCGAGTGACCTTATATGACCAACTGATATACCGGTGGCTGTCGACCAGAGATGAGCTGCCGATGGAACTTCAAAGTCATAAAGGAACCTTGAGCCAAGATCACCTGTGAGGCGAGGAGGAAAAGACATAGCGGCGGTGGTGGGGACAAGCACGAGGGAGCTCCTTTGGAGGGCTAGCAAACAGTCGCAGGGGGAGGATCTGGATGCCATGATTTGTTTGAACTCAGCCTTGGGAGTTTCCTCACTTATTACCTGAGAGATTTTGAGGTAAACAAATCATCGGATCGCGTTAATTCCGGGCTCAAGGTAACCACTGGCTTCACTGGCACTGGCACCGCCTTACTATCCCTTGGCCGGCGATCGATCCAGAATGCGCACCCGCTTCCAGGTATCAACTCTCGGTGACAGAATACTAGTCACTCCGACAGTGAATGATGTAATTTGCCTTTCATATGATAAAATGGAAATGAAAGTGCGGTGGTACACCACAGCCACGTCTCGTTGGTAAACCGAGCACCTGGGTAGCCTCCGGTCTTTGGTTTGCCAACAACACTTAGGATGATCTCATCTGCGGTGTGATCATTGTGATGTGTCTGTTTACTGACGCGATCTGCCAAAGTGGAAGGAATCTTACAGTAATCTGTTCTCTGCTGGGTGGAACGATGAAAGCGAAGTGTGTCACCCATCCAGTTTTTTTCTCAAGTACTTTCCAGTTCCGGCAGTGGCTGCGGGATGGTGCATGGGAAGGAAAGAGCCTTGTGATGGTTTGTTGATTTAGGGCTGTGAGAAGTGATGAGTACGTCAACTCTGGGAGGAAAGTATTACCTTTATAAGCCCCGCTTGCACCAGGATAAACCCCGGCGAATTCAGACTCTTTCCTCTTCAACGAACAAAAATAAAGAGAAAAGAAAGGTTGTTCAACACCACCAATATTGACAGTTTCTCGAACTACTTCAATTCTGCCTCCCTCTTTGTATCAGGCCTTTCTATCCAGTATGGGGAATCTGCAATCTAGGCCAAACCACATAATTGAGATATACTGGGGCCGAGAGCGATTGATTGCGCATCGCATCTCCTGGCTCATAGCTCGGTTTCCGAACACTTCTCATCTCCGACCTTTTGTCAAGTTAAATAGCCCAATGCGAGGGTACTCCTATCTCGACCTGGCCCCTAGAGAAAACGACGAAGTGCTGTGGTTAAAGGGCTGGAAAGGGTCCTACAATAATGGGTCCAAACACAACGCATCACTCCGAGAGGCGGTTGAGCTATTACTTGAGGACGGGGTGGGTTCGTACAACCTCAAACTCGGTCATCTGTTCCAGAGTGACAGCAGAAGGGGGGTTCCCTTTCCCATTCGCAAGTTCCAAGATCTTATCGAAGCTCTGGTCAACATAGGCATATCAGTTGGCTGTCTCCGGAGCGGCATCAGGCCTATTTCAAATTTCCTAGAGGCTGCATATATGGACCGCCGAAGCTTCTTCAGACACAACGCGACTATACCTGAAGCAGTGAGATTTCTCACAATCGGCCACAGGCTGAGATCAAGACAGATGATACAAGATTTTATGTTTATTGTTCTCTCTGGGTTCGAGGTGGCGTTTCCCAAGTCTCGAGTTGATGACGGCGCCGACCCTCGCTTGGGTATTCAGCGCAGCTGCCCGGGCATGGACCGGGACCTTTGGGAATACTTAAAAAATCAACATAGCGAGTACCAGCATAGGAAGCGCAAAAGGGAGAGACAGCTTCGCGACTACTTCGCGACCATGGGAAAAAGCTCCGATAATTCTATTTTCCTCTCTGTGAGACCTAGCGCCCTCATAGATCTAGTCTCCTCGGCAAGCACCAGCGTGAAATCCAGAACACAGCCCTGGGAGATGCAAAGCCTTAGAAAACGAGACCAGGTCGTTGTCGAAGTGAAAACTGTTGGTAATAACAATGACCCTCGTAGAGCGCAACGGGATCCAAATCGTGAGCATGAACGTCGTCACGAACGTGGGCAATTTGAGCATATACTAGCACGATACATGGACCGTTTCGCCCAGGAGGAAAGACAGCGACGATACGATAATATTTTGCCGTGGGAAGTCCACCTGCATGGCGGAGGCCGGCGCCTGGAGAGAGGGGAAGATGACATCTAAGTCGATGCCCACCCCGGTAAGTTGACTATGGCATGCCATGTCCCTTTAGACACTTGGGATGGGAGGCAACCTCATGTGTTGGCCTGGGTGGGTTATGGCTGGGACGAGTGCTTGAGGCTGTAATCTCTAGATAGATATTTCTTTACCCTGGGACTGGCATCGCACATAGAGGGGGACGCTTGGAGTTTGTTGCAGGGGCTGGTGGTTAAGTTTCTCGGGGTACTTAAAGCTACATCTGGTGTTCGTGTTTTTCTACCTTTGAATCAATAAAAGTCCTAGAAATTGGCGGAACGCTTTTCTCTTTTCTCTTTTTCTCCCTTAGACCAATATCCCGCGCGAGGATAGACGGTGCCAAATCTTTCCAGTTTCTGTCCCATTCTCGCGCCGGCGGAAGAAGAGGTATCAGCATGTCAATGTTGAAAGACATCCTCGTAGTCCGTCAGCGGTTCCATAGCCTAGTTAGTTGACGCATGGTGACCATATCAAGAGGTGTTAACGTCGACGCCGAGGATTCGACGCATGATAGTCTACTCCTGGAACCACCATTGACTCTCCCTTTTTTACTTCTTGTTATCCTAACAGCTAAGAGCAATGACTACCATCCCAGCCACAAAATCGGTGGTGAGCTGTTACTCGGGAGCACCCCTGAACACCCCTTTCAGCCCAGGTATCATACAAGCCTTGCATATCACAAGCCGGCAGTTGTAAAATACCATTGCTTAAACCCGAAATTAAAATTAATTGGAGATAGGAGTATAATAGATATATCATGGCCGTATGTTCACGGAAGGGATAAGAGGCCGCACGCCACTTGCCGCCTCTTCGAGTATGCACTTTCGAGCTGGAGTGGCAGAACCTGAGGCAGCGGGGAGCCAGTCGGTTCCAGAAATTCGAGCTATTAGCGCAGTCTGGAGGCACTTTCGGGTGAGACTGAGAAGGTCTTTGGGCTCGGTGGAAATGCGTGTGGGTTGAACTTATTGTCTTCGTTCTCTATAGTTTTCGTAATCTAGTCCCTGTGTTTAGATAATGCTGGGGTATCGATATGTTTAAGGGTCATGAGCTTGTCACTCGCTGTTCCGAAAAGAAAAGAAAGCTTGGCCCAATGGAGCGGAATTCCATGTTTGTGGATAAATTTATAGTAACACCGGGAAGGTTAAAACTCCTCAAACGCCGAGAAAGCCCAGCCCGATAATCGCCAGGGACTAGCATGTTCAAACGAGATTTTTGTTCTTTTGTTTGGGGATCGTAATGAAACTCCATATCCTAACTCTGTATAACCGGACTAAACCTTTCGGTGTTCATTCTTATTCCAATGCATAGTATTGCGCTAACCCTTGAATGTTCTCGCTAGATTACATGGCAAACGACAGACATAGTGAGTGGTGGTATGTGTAGCATAATTAAACGTAAGAATCAATGAAGTCCATCGGTAGAAAATAACAAAATAAACGGTAGGAAAAAGAGACGCCAACAAAAACCTCCGCCGATTACGAAACAAAGCAATCCACACCCCTCAAGACGGCCCCTTCTTTCCCTCCTTGAACAGCCACCCCGCAAGCTTATCTGACCAACCCACTCCCTCTCCGAGTCCAAATCCAATAACAGGGTGCTTGAACCCTCCCCGCAACGCTGCGAATCCCAACGCTATGATAACCCCAACCCCAAGGACTCCCCACACTAGTATCCTCCTCATACCCCCCTCTCTACTCCTCACTTCCTTGGGATGTGGGTGGGTTGTGATTGTCTGGGATTGTTGGCCGGGTGGAGTAGAGGGGTTTTCGGGTGCTATTACTTCGGCGGTGGTCGTGCCGCCGGGGGAGCATACGGAGAGGAGTGGTTGTTGCTGGGTTTCTTTTGTGTGCGTGAAGCAGTTGTCCCCTTTGTCGGGGTGCCCGTGGCGTACGCTATCTCGAATACTAGACGTGCGGCTAGGGTCCCTATTGGCGGGCTGCTCATTGCGATGCATGCTCCCTGATGCAGTGGGATTTTCCTCTTCCTTCCCACGTTGGCGGTGTTCAAGGCCACCGATGCTAGAACCGAATTCACTATTTCTAGGTTTTGTTTGATCTAACCAGCGGCTTTTGGATGTCTTCTGGTCAGCTTGGTCTTGTAGATCCCCGTGGGAATACCGTCGATGTCTGTCGGGATGAGAACTAGGGTACCGAAACTCGCCACTTTTCATGGTAATTCGGCCCAGCTCTTCTACTTCTGGCCTCGTGCCATCTCCGCCCTGAAATGGCCTCGAAGGGCGCCGCCGGTGTGTCCTGTGTCTGTCGGGATGTGAACTAGGTAATCCGCCAACGTTGTAACCGAAGTCACCCGTTTCTATGGTAAAATTGCCCAATTCCCGAGATTCAGCAGTTCCGTTTGCAGCTGGTGTTTTCCCGCTTGTATCATCTGACCTCTGACACTCGCTAGTCTCTGCACCTGCGCCCAATCCTCGAGCATCCGCTCCATGAGTCTTGTGTCTGCCCGGATCGAAGCTGGACTGGCCTCCAACGTTATATCTAAATTCGCCACTCTCGATAGTTATGTTTCCTAGTTCTGGTGGCTTAGAAGTACTTTCTACCCCTACATACGGAAGCTGATTTTCCGAGGCTAGGCCGCCCGGCGCATGGGCATTATTTGACGCGGGTTTGTCATGGTTCCTATTATCAATAGCTCTATCGTGGCCCTCGGTTATACCAATATTATATCCAAACTCCCCAACTACATCAGCGATCTTCTCAAGCTCCTCAGTCTCAGGATTTAGCCTGGATTTTTGAGTAGGGCTTGGTGACTTCCCTACGGGCTGGTTCTGTTTCTCATGAATAGTTCTGTCCTGGTCCTTAATAGACCCGGATTCTCCCAGGTTGTCAGAAACTTTCCAGAGCTCTTTTGTCCCGGAGTTTTCTCCAGACTTCTGGGCCAGTTGGAATTTAATTCCTGTGGGCTGGCCATGTCGCTTATCATCAGTTGGTATGTCGTGGCCTTTAGATCTTTCAAGATTATATCCAGGTTCTGCGGAGACGTCGGGGATCTTCTCGAGTTCTTTGTCCTGTGGGCCAGTTGATCCCTCTCGTGAGCTCGATTCCGATGGCTCAGGAGCAAATGAAACTCTTTTTGCCGGTGGTTTGTCGTGCTGTTTGCTGTTGATCGCTCTGTCATGGCCTTCAGTTGCTCCACCATTGTGCCCGATATCTATGGACTTGAGGTCAGTGCTGCTGGCCTCGCGCGCCATGTCGCTGGGTGAGGTTTCCTTAATCTCGGGAAGATGCCGAGGTGAAAGAGCAGAATATCGGCCTCTTGTATTGTGCTCTCGATCCAGTACCCGAGCTGAAAGTTTTGCCTCCCCTTCGTCGGCCTTTGGAGCTCCCTTAACCCCTCCACTATACTCCAAAATCTCTCCGGTCTCCGTCGGTCCTTCCACCCCACCCTCCGCTTCCACGGCTTCGGCCTCCCTCCCATTTTTGTCTGAAACCCCCGAGTCCCGAATGGCCCCATCTCTCTCAGCACTCGTTCCAATTCCGACCCCTCCAATCTCCTCCGGCTGGAGCTCGACAGTCGTGCGCTCCTTCGCTTCAGGTATGAGAGGACTTCCCATGCCGCCGACGTTGACACCAATGTCTCCTGACCAAAGTCCCGCTGCGGCGCCAAGTATCCCTTTCGTACCAGTCGTGTCGGTAGCTCTACCAGCAGGACCTTTCTCCCCCATCTCCTTAGACCTAGCCCTATCTCCACTACCGCCCCCTTCACTCCCATCTCCATCCCCATCTCTCCCGAACCGATCCCTATAAGGCTCAGGCACTGCGACCCAGGGGTGAGAAATCTCCCTGGGTGGCTGCACAGTTGACGACGGCAGAGGGGGCTTCGAAAAGTTCGATTCACGTTCCCCCCTTCCCTCCTCCTCATTCGAGTCCATGATGTTCGCTTTCTGATTGTTCCCCGTTTCCTTAAGCTTCTTCAGTTTCTCTCCTTGACTATAGGTGGTGGGTTGGTGTTGCCGGGGGCACCGTGAAGTGGTGAGTTTAAGTGGGTGAAATACAGTCGTTTCCCACGGCCCAGCTAAGGGCGCCAGCACAGCTGCAGGGGGGTAGACTAAGCGGAAAAGGTGGGATTGGGGAAATATGGGGTACAGGTACCTGAGTGCTCGGGGTGAGAAAAATTGTCAGCGTAAGCGGAGAAAGCGTTTTGCAAAAGGTTTGCATCCGTCGCTATCTCTCTTTGCGGGCGAGCTTTTCAAAATCCTAGTCGATCCATCTGAATAATCTCTTTCCCCAAGTACCGGTACTAAAGCATTTCCACTGGCGTACTTGCATTTACACAAGTATGACGAGAGAGAGAGAGTTACATGTTTTTTCTAGAATTCTGTAAAAGGGTGGTTGACGGAAGAGTGATGTCAGATGAAGATGATATCATTGAGTGGGAGGCAATCTGTGGGCTGATGGTTACCGTAACCCGTTCTGAGGCGCTGGCTCTCTTTCAACCTCCTAACTCCAAGAGGTATAGTAGCAAGTATGGTCTATCACCGATAATTCGCGAACCGGAGACCGGAAAAGCCAACCTTCCGTGAATATGTCCCTCTTAGCGATAGTTACCCTAACCCTGACCATCTCGCAAATACACTCCTTTATGCTACTTGTGCCATAGGATACCGAGGTATCCGTAGTCTACACCCCGGAGAAACGATGCATTGAGCACTCCAGCAGACAATTTACGATATGAGTACTCGCACTGTAAAAGCCTCACCTACTCGAGTACCGTACTCGTACCGGCAGCTGTGCGCCCTATCACCTCAAATTGCACGAGTCTTTCAAAATGTGCTTAGCGAAACGGGCTGATGCCAGAAAATCTGGTACTGTACTGTACGAGTACAGTACTCCAACACCTCGTGCTCGCCAAGTAAATTACGCAAACCAATAAATGCAGGATCGTGAGACTCAGTCTACCCTACCGGTATTTTACAAGTAAGTACGAGTAAATTTACGATCGTGAGGAATAGCCTCGTGCGTGCATTCTGCTACTATACCTTGTAGAGTCCTCGCCGCGGGGCTTTCCGGCGGGGGGAGTGCTCGTGGGATCTCCCCGAATTCAGCGATGGAGATTTCTGAATTTCTGTTTTTTTCTTTCTTTTTTTTCTTTCGCATTTTAAATTAACCGATCCACGATCCGGTCCGACCACTTATGATACTTCCCGTCCAATAGGTTTTATTCATGCTCTCAGCTTTAATGTTGAGTTAGAACCCAGCGACCATGGTATCATACGTGTCTAAGCACCAGTATTGTATTGTACTGTATCTAACCGGGAGAGTTGAATTAAAAAAAAAAAAAAAAAAAAGCTCCTCCTGCAGATCTGATTTCTCCCAAAGTTCAGATCCCTCCATCGAAAAAAAAAAATAGCCGGATATGATACACATATTATTATAGCAGTTACTCTTCTGACAGTTGTACTGACAACAAGAATTCAGTATGACAGGAGGCCCGCATGTTGAGCTGTAGTATAACCAAGAAATGCAATTCTGCAATGTTCCAAAACGGCCTTTAAGGTTGGAAAAATTCCATCTTTGTGGGATGTCCGACGGGTTCCTTACTACAGGAATCACTGTTTATCACTCACTGTGGGCAGTCAGACCTCGCTTTACTGCTATGATATGATACCGGAGATACCGGTGGCTTTCAGATCCCGCCAGAACCAAGCGATGGCTCAAACCAGGGAACAAAAAATCGGGGAGAATTAACTCAAGGGCCTGTTCGGTATGTCCATCGTATTCATTATGATAGTGAAGGGTTGTAAACGGCATATATGTTCATAAAAAAAACATAATCATAATATATTATTTCTGAAAACATAAATGTCGGTATGACCAGGATATAATAGATGCCCCATGGGAGATTAATATGATAATATCCCAGTTTAATAGAGAAACCCTCATTGTGCTACCCACAGTGGTAGTCACCATCCATCTAATAACATCTAACTTGTGTCATTGAGAAATATGCAATAAAAATGTAGCATATTTTTTAGCCATGTCGAGCACCCCCTCAATATAGAAGTTTGAGGAATTTATGCCATAAAAACCACTTTTATGGAATAAAAGTGACATGCCGAACAGGCCCTAACATGTGTATTTCTGCTATTCTATGCTGCATTGTATGCGTCCCTCATTTGCGATTATGATTATGATTATTGTTATTGTTATCACCATTATTATTATGCTGTATCTAGTCTGTAAACGAAAGCGAGTAGCCGGCCAAGGTTCAACTAAGGGTCGATCTCCAATCAGTAACAGATTTTGCCAAGGCATCGCAATCGTTGAGGAGTGGTATTTACCCATTTGGTATCCAATTGCTTCAAGTCGGCAACTCCCAAATTGGAGGCATCGACAGTGAGCTCCTCCTTCAGGAGATCAATCAAGTACTGCACACCTTCCCTGCCAAACACGTTGGAGTACATAAAGGGCCTTCCGAGGCCAACAGCCTTCACGCCGAGAGCCAGAAGCTTCAAGATGTCAGTTCCATATCTGACACCACCGTCGGCGAACACAAAGGTCTCGCTGAAGACCTCTGGCGCGTTCTCGTGAATCTCGATGGCTACTTCAAGCGGGGATTGTGAAGTATCGAGTTGGCGGGCACCGTGGTTGGAGAGGTAGATTCCCGGTGCACCATGCTTAATCGCAAGAAGCGCGTCCTCGACGGATTGGATCCCTTTCGGGATGACGGGCAATGAGGTCATATTTCTCAACGCCTGGTACGACTCCCAAGTGAATTCCGGGTCAGAGTCACTGCGTATGTCAGTATCGCCCACAACGATTACTCGTGGATGAGATTACACACGTGGTCGAAGGCCAGCCGTACCGGCTTTCGCGTGTACGCACACCGTGAACCGGGTTGTCCACTGTAACAAAGATCCCCTTGAAGCCGGCCGCTTCGATGCGCTTGACATCGCTGGCGAGTTTGGTCTTGTTGCGAGAGACATAAAGCTAAGAAATCTATTAGCGCATGATCCGCAGAACCTTTCCTAAACTGGCGCAGCCCGACAGGTTTTAACCCACTTGGTGAAACATGACTTGGCCGGGCACTGCAACAGCTGCGATTTCTTCAATTTTCTTGGTAGCGCTTAAGCTGGGCTATCGGAACTATTGATCAGTACCAGTATATCTCGGGATCCGGATTGCTCGACAATCTTGGAGGCGGGAGAAATACTGCATAGAGGATATTCTCCGCACCAGCCGCTTCGGCAAGGTTGAGCTCAGCCCGAGGGTGGGTGAGACCTGCACGGGCCGCGGGAGCAATGAAGAATGGTGCAGTGAATTTGTGCCCGAAAATTGTTGTGCTAGCCGAGTGTCAGCGTGCGTGGGCAAGATGGAGAGGGTGGTTTTACTTGAGCGAAATATTGGTAACATCAATAAGAGTTCGGGGACGAAGCTTGACTTGGCTAAAGATCTCCAGCGAGCGTCGATACGCTGGAAACTTGTTAACATTGCGCCCGTCTACAAGTCTTAATACCATAAAACTTTGAATAATTGGATAGTGCGCTACCTAGTACAAAATTCCCTTCTCTAGAAAGGGGCAAAAAACACAGTAGAAACACTGTCCCTTTCCCCTTGCGAGACAGATCTTACTGAGGGAGGAAAGCCCAACGGCGTACCGGTAGCACACCGTCCAATTATTCAAGTTTTTATAGTATCATAGTTGTAAAGAAATGCATACCAAATTCCCCAGCAGCGCCAGTTCTGTAGTAAGCTTAAGACCACAGTTGTTAGTATGCAATCGACGTGCAGTCTGTGGATTGGCCAACTCACCATAATCCGAGACATTCATAAAGTGACGAGCAACCGCCTCAAAATCAGGAATTGCCTTGATACTGTTCAAGGTAGGAAGCTGTCCAGTGGGAACAGCTCCATCATTGAATCCAGTATCAGGCTCATTTAGGAAGGGAGTAACAGCAAAGGCACCAGGCGCCGAAGCGGAGAAGAGAAAGAAAAGAATAGCGGCACGCATCCTGAATGGGTGAATTGCCTTTGCAGAAAGATCCTTCGAACAGTGCGCTGGGGCAAAAGTGGAGCGGTCACTTGAGGATGCGAGAACAAGGAGGAGGGGATTAAGAACCTTCAAATACTTTCTCATGACCAACAGTAAGGCTGGCGCTCCGGTGGACTGGTAGGCATCTATGGGCTAGTGCATAAAAACCCGCAGGGGTTTGGTCAGTGCAGTTGTGTTACCGGTATTATCATTGCTAGAGTTTATATGTGCCTGGGGTTAAGGATAAGTGAGGGGAGCTTTCTCGGATTGGCTCCTGGGCCGATTAGCCAATCAATGAGCCGAATATTGGGGAGCCATGATGGCAGTGTTTTCCTGTCTTTCTTGCACCGCATGGTTACACATCCATAATTTTGTCCAGTAAGAATCGTGTTCGCCTCACCCCCCTGAGTATGCCTTACAAAGTATCCGACTGCCAGTTCCTAAGTCGATAAATTTATTATCCTTGAGGCTCGTATAAAGATTATCTGTTGCATGAGGGGAAGATTACTCTACTCTATCCTGTGACACCACCAAACTCCGAGATCTTGTCTTAGTATTGGTACTGTACATCACTCGAGTGGATCTACTCGAGTAGTACCGGACGCTAGGTTCCCGAATACCCTTCGGGAAGAGGACAGCATTTCGATTCTCCCAGCAGACTGCGTCACCCATCCCAGATAGTGCTGTCGATTTCATATAAGGGTCAAGATCGAAATAATGGTATGGTACTGTACATAACCATGATCTCAGTAACAGTGTGCGCCTCGGAAGCTCGAGATCCGGAGGGATCTCAATTTCTGATTACCTCAGTCAATTCCGAACGAATATAATCGACAGATGAGGTACCGTACTTGACCCCCCATCTCAACGCGGCTATCAAAAACACAAATCTCTCAAGGCTCTTGAACAATGGAGGTCTTGCATTTCTAGACAAGCTGGTTGCGGCGCGCCACTAATCCTAGCAAAGATCAACCTCAACACCCCTACGGTACTCCATACCGCTTTTTTATGCTGGACCCTTGTGCCAGCAACTGGAAGATAGTGGGTAAGAACTCTTTTCTCGGGAATCCCCACCCCCACCGCCAAAACCCTTAACCAGAGGTTTCAGGCCAGTTCAGATGACCCCAAACAGAGGTTTTCACAGTCAAATATTGTGGGTCGCATCGGGGGCTGCTTAACCATTATTGTAATATTCGATTATTCATTCCTCTCGTTTCACGAACCCCGTGTCACTTACTCAAAAAGGGAGCCACCTTCTGCACTCGTGCCGTACCGTATTTTTATCGTACTGCGCTGCGGTATCGCAACCTAAAGTCAGACTGGAGCTAAGGGCTCGCAGCACTTTAAGCAAATAGCGAAAGACAATTGGGAAGACATTCCTCACCGATAATCCAGCTTCTGCGAAGAGATAATAGATGATTATAAACAAGCCCAAAGGGCCATCCGATGCGATCTGGACATCCCGATATACTGGCAGGGGTCTTGGATCGGTGCAAGGCTAAATACCGTACAGTACTCTACTGTGCTCTGTGCTCGCATTCTTAGCACACGGGGCAGGTGCAACCAACGACGAACAATGCATGCGCCATGAGAATTGATTCATGAACCTACCCGGGGTTTATCTCACCTCGGAGCTGAGAGACGGTAAATCTTTTCAATTTAATACGGACGGAGGGTAGAAGCAGAAATGAGTCCTAGCTGTCAACAGAACCGGGAAGCTATGTTTTAAGCCACTATCCGCCGTGCTCGTTGGTTGTCTCGGCTCCCAAGAAACTAGACTACTCGAGCGCAGGCACAGATAACCACACTCACGACGAAACCGGGCGGAGGACGAACAGGGACAAGTATTATCATAATATTATGTCATAGCAAGTAACTTCTTGTTACCCTACTTTGACAATTTGCGTCCTATCGTACCGAATCCACAAATACCCCTGTGCGTAAGCCTGCTAGCCTGATTCCCCGAGCTGACGGACAGTAGGGAGTATCGAGTATCATACCGGTATATCATACAAGTAAATCACCGGGTACTGTGGGGCTCAAAATCTGCTCTGTGGATTTTGAAGTGCCCCTGATTTTTTTACATGGAGTTTAGATAGGGAAGTTGTCAAGTTTCTCCACTCCTCGTCTCTGTCGATAACAACCGAATGGAAGGTACGTCATCGAACATCTTGAAAATACGAACGAACCCGAACAAGTGCGCAAGTGAAGTAGTCTACACTGGATGAGAAATGCTTCAAGTCACCCAACGTTGAATAACGAAATTAAATGAATATGAAGCTTTGATTGAGCTATTGCGATTTTTTTTTTTTTAAAAAAAAAGGCAGTTACAGTAATTTGACAATGCCAATTCTTTACTATTAATAGACTAGTTAATATGCCAAGACCTTAAAATAGCCGCCTATTAAAGACCCTGGGAGTTAACCAACAACTACCGTAGTAAGCTAATGTAAACGTTATTGTGGTCCGGTCTAAGTGTCCCACCACCATATACTCGAGTATGACTGTATGATACCATAAAATCTCCCGCAATCCGCTATCGGATAATCAGCGGAAACCGGAAGCATTAGCTCACGGTGGGTTTGGTTCCCAAGTTAACCGAATTGCGAAAACTCACATGTTATCAATGAGGCCCAACTCACCCCAAGAGCCAAGGCTAGCGCGCGCCAATTCTCCTCACCAGCTCTTTGTCTCTGAGCCCGGAAACTAGAGGCCTCCCAGAGATGGCGAATCGCAAGAGCTGTTATGGTACCAGGACATGGAGCAGGGATCCGTACTCGTGTCCTGGGGTATCATGGTGTATGCCTTTTGTCGACCAGATACATATCCCGACTGACTGACTTCAATAGTTCTGCTCCGAGGGACGACAATTTCCAACTCAGAAATATCTACCTACCGGTAGTCTATGTCCTTGTAGCTAAGCAGTTCAAATACAGGGAGGGTAATGACCTAGGAAGATACTACTACGGTGGTACGAGTACTAGTACAGCAGGGGCCCTTTAGTGTCTTGGAACTTTATGCAACGTACGAGTATATTGCGATAACAAGTGCACAGCGCTACTCTTAGTAACAATGCGTTCTCTGTATCGCCAGCAAACCTATTTTTCCGGGGATGCACTAGTACTCGTCAAGAAGCTCCTCCGTCGCCAACACCATGGGGTATGCAGGCAAGGGGTTGCATGACCGCGTGGTGAGGGGACCGGTGAGGACCCTGGAGTTCAGAGTACGGTGTGTCTAATTGACCGGGAAGTGGGTCAGACGCGGAAGCGAATCGCTCGCTCTATATTTGGATTTTGCTCAAATCCTCACTGTGCAGGGGTTAAGCACAGCCTCACGCCAATTAACGAGATTCCAAAAGACCCCATTCCTTCGCAAGATAGAGCTCCGTTAGAGCGGAGACTACGGATCTCAAGAGACTTTACAGTGCCAGGAAATACTTTCTGGGATCCCAGACTTCCTCTTCCTGGTATTGGATCTCGATTGGGGTTTCAGTATTTCTACTTTTCTGACGCATTTTGACCGGTTTGCCCACCGGCCCAACGGGTTTGGTCTGTCGAACCGCCTCTCATTGGCTCGACGCACCTATCGACCACTCAGAGAGCAGGACCCCCGCTCCAGCCACTGAGGCCAACCGCCTTTCACATCTGGCCAAGGAAGTGCGCTACCGGACAACTAGTCCGATCGTCTCGGGGGAGATATCTGATCTGTCTTGTCCATCACTATCATTGACCAATCACCTCTTGCAAAACCCCCGACGAGAAATCCGTAATAGTTAAGATTAAAGCAAGTGGTCAGACTATTGCCTATAATTACTGGTACGATAGTTGAAAAAAACTCTATCAGGTACTCAAGTATCTGGACATACGCTTTTCCGGTGCCAGTTTCAAAAAGGACGAATGGATCTGGTGATCGTGGGTCCACGTTTTAACATGGCCCATAACAAAACAGCCTTTCCGCCCCAAGCCCACCTAGAGCAAGACTGAGAGTGTGTAGCGATGGGAGAAGTCCAAGTCGTGAGTGCGATCCCAATTTCCCGGTTGAATAGAAGGCCTCATCCTATTGCCAGGTATAAGTTAAGTTGTAGCCAGTGTTGGACCGCCAGCAGGCTACCGTACCGGTATACATGAAAGATTGGGTTGTCAGTTACAGTAGAACCTTTTTAAGGAATATCGGTCTCAGTATGATACCAACCAGGTAGTGTTTGTCTTTTGAAAGGGTTGCATTCCCGACACTATCTGAGTACCGGTATTGCAGGGTACAATGTCTATCTCAGATAGTCAGAGCCTAGGGTTCAATGGAGCGCGGGTTACCGTCGGGTAGTTGCATGAGCATGTAAGCCAAAGATTTCACCGGCTAGAGGGCTATGCACAAATCCCTCACTCTGTTGTGAAAGGAGGTGTGACATAATACACACAGGAAGGGGAAATATCTCGGTTGACCATCTGCTTAACCTGGGAATATGAGAGGACGTCAGCACTCGGGGGGGGGGGGTGATTTGGCTTAGGATCTGGTTCCTAAAGGTCTCTCTCTCATCATCATATATTTGCCCCTATAATCTGAGACATCTCCAGTATCTCTAGCGGTGTGGGATTTACGAAGGAGAGTTCAGTCCAGTTATCCCTATCCAACCGTCATTATTTGCTTTCCCATGTATAATATGCGCTTTCAAATGAATTCTTCCAATGTCAATACGTTTGGGAGTGGGGTAATGTCATAAAAGGGTCCATGTCTTTGTCCCGTACTCGAGTCTCTCCGGTACGATACCTCGATCATGCAAAGTTAGTATTCACAATGTGACGGTCCGTCCATTGCCTTGCCAAGATAACTGATGCGAAAACCCTTAGAGACGACAGTGCAAACTGCAACTACACCAGTGACTCCCCGCAATTCCCACACGAGGTACCATATGGCCCCCACTTCGGAGGAACCAACACACAAATCCGGGTGCAGGGAATATTTACCTTCCTCAAGGTTCCACTTCCCCCGGATCCAACCGCAGTACCCTTCTCCCCTCCCTTCCTCCTTCCCAATCCGCCAGATGGTATAGCTGGCTTCTCAAGGGGAAAGCAGCGGAATCATTCTTCACCACCCGCGATCTCCTAATCACCGCCCTTTAACCCCGAAACTACCCCACCCCTTCCTCCCACTTGCAAACCCACTCTTTACCTGTACAACCTAAACCTCGACTCCCCAATCTCTACCTCGAAAACCTGCACCTGCCTCGTCGAGCAATGCAGACGCGCCACCGCCGCAATAACCGGCAATCAGGCGGCAATGAGAAGGTGCAATCGGCGGTGGGTCAGCGAGTGTACGGTACTATTACTGATTCGATAGAGCTCCCTGGAGTAGCCGTGTGGAGTTGGCAGCGACTGGGATGCGAGTTGGAGTTGGAGCGAGGCATGATCGCGATATTGGGTCTGTGTCCAAAATGGATGATTGGGGGGATAGTATTTGGGTTGTGAGTGGAAACGAGTATTAGAGGTTGGTAGGGGAGGATCGTAAGCTGGCTGATTGGGTTTTCTTGGTTCTTTTGCTTCTTCTTGGTTATATGTGCGAGTGAGGAGGGTGCTCGCTCTAGACAGGCATGATTGACGGAGTGACGGCATGGCCAGAGCATGCCGAGGTGAGAGGCAACATGGCACTCAAATGCTAGCGGGAGCTCCGCCAAAAAAGATGATTAGAGAAGCGAGAAATTGGCGTTCTGGTAGGGTTTCCGGAAGGTCAGGAGTCTGGGTGAGTGACGAGCCGTGTCTGCACTGTGGGTATTGAAGGAATAGAAATCAATTCTGGTAGTTGTCTTCTCGGAAGACGTTCGCGGCGCCCCCCACCCTTTCGGCGAGAACACCCTAGTCCGGAAGGTAGGGGGGTATAGAAAAACACCTTTTTATACCCCTCCAAGACAGACAGCCACCACCCCGGACACTCCTGACCACGATCACTGCATGAACCCTACCCAAACTAACAAATACTAATATACAAGTGCTGTAAACCGCTTTGAAAACAGCAAGTGTATGAGTATGGAATAAAGAATTAATCATTTCTGGAGGCCGCAAGGTATCTGATGTTACCCAATAGTAATTATTTACTAAACTAATGTATAATACGAATCTGGTAACAAAAATCACCAGTATCTATAGTGTAAGTGTACAGTACGGTACTTGCACTGCACCAAAAATAGCCAACTTAAAGCCGTTGAATTCCCAAAGAATATCATACAAAAAATACTAGCACAGGCTTCGGAACAATGCCAACTTTTCATACTCAAAATCTTAGTTTTCTAGTAAAGACAAATTGATTTTTTGGAAGCTAAAATTATTCAATTGAAGTTTTTCTCGCGAGGGGCGCCAAGACCTAATGTCACCTTTTGCTCTTTTGTCCATGGACATCCTAGAAAATGAGATATTTATTTGTGATGACCTGGAAGAGAAAAACCAAGGAATTATTCTCTTGGACAATGAAGTAAATTTTGGGTTTTATCGATGGAATAGGGGTGGTGTTATAACGTTGTCAACATGACTACCGGTACTATTACAAGCACCACCCACCTATCATACCGAACCCATTCCCTGCGAGATCTATCGTACGGGCAACAGAGCAGAGAGAAAGAGCCCGAGAATCTCCGACCCGTACGTCAAAAACCTTAAAAATTGATAAGAAAGGGAGCACTCGGTAAAAAAAAAATTTGCTCAAATTCAAATGCCAAAGGCGTAAACCCATATTTCTTATTTGAGGTAATTCAAACATCAATAAATATCAAAGCCGAGTCTTGCAATCAATTTCCTCGAAGAGCTCTTATAGATGGCTCCTTTGAATTCAGGGATAGCACTCCCTTGGTATTTGCAAGCACAAATATGACCCTCCGTGCACATTCCTTCGCAGTCCAGATAAAAGAAAATTACCAGGAAATTCATAAACGATACACATCTCATATCTCATAACCACCTAAACCTTGTCAATAGCCTTCGTTACCTTCTCTTTCTCGTCCCAATCCCCACCCAGTTCCCTTACAGTTCCACCCTCGGTCAAGTCCCTCCCCAAATTTTCCGGTCCAACAAATACCAGGACAGTGAGGTAAACAAACACACATCCCATGAAGACTGCCATGACCTTTCCGTAATCGTAACGCAGGACACCTCCCGGTCCGTCTTGAAGGGGGAACTTCTCGCCGATAGTGGCTTCGATGGTGGATGATGCGGAGGAGGCAAGGTTTCCAAGTTGATAGGCTGTTCCGACGATGGTAGTACGAGCACCTTGGGGAGAGAGTTCGAGAAGGTGGATTGGGACGACGCCCCATGCCTGCAACAATCAGCTCTACCCTCAGAAATAGAACGGAGAAGCACATACCCCCTGCACGCAAAATTGCATCCAGAATGCCGCGGGGATAACCCCATCACTCCTGATGAAGCAGTATGGGTATACAAGTGCACCACCGACGGTGCAGACGACGATTATGCTCAACCTTCGACCAAACATTTGCGAGAGGTAACCGACTATGGTTCCGCCCAGCATCGCACCGAGGTTCGCGATAACTTGGGTAACAGTGATTTTGTTTTTTGAGAATTCAAGTTGGTTTTCCAACATGGTCGGATAAAGGTCTTGGGAGCCATGGGACTAGGTCATGTGAGTCCTGGCTTCAATCAGAGATGGGAAAGATAGGATACCATAAAGTTGAAGCCAGCCATCATTAGAACAAGATAGATCAAAAGGAGCCAATGCTTCTTAAACCCTACTTTGGCTTCTTTCCAGACAGTCTTTTCAATGCCTTCTACACCTTCGCGACGTTCTCTCCTCATCGCCCGTCGTTCAAGAAAGCTATTTGTCTCCGGAAGATATAACCGAAAAGCAATGATCAGGACTGGAGGGCATGCCCCAAACCAGAACAAGGGCCTCCATTCATGAGGTGTTGTGTTGACAAGGGCACGAGCGAATACTGTAGCTAGAAGATAACCAAAGGAATAACCCTGTTGTAGCATGCCCGAGAGTATACCACGAGCTTCATTGGGTGCGTCCTCGAGAGCGGTTGAAGCGCAATTACCATACAATCCCCCCATGGCAATACCGAATACGGAACGAACTCCCAGAAATTGCTCATAGCTAAGAAATCGTAAGCTTGAGCCACTAAAAAAGAGGTCGGACAACGAACGTATTACAGAAACTAGCTGACAATTCCAAAATAATGAACAAAACGATATTGGCTATAAACGGCCATTTCCTTCCCCACTTGTCTGCAGCCATACCGAAGGAGATGGCACCGACACTTCGCAACATCAATACCAAAGTTATGCCCCATGTGATGTCGGCCTTGGACCTATGGAACGTTTTCGCAAGTGACGTGATAGTCATAGATACTAAGAAAAAGTCGAACGCGTCCCTAATACATCCGTTATTCCCACATGCTAGAGAGATACACGGGTGATATACCATGTCCATCCGATGAAACCTATTAGGAAAAATTGCCACTGTCTCCAATTCAACTGGCGAAGGACGGTAATCGGGTTGGGGGGTATGTTCCCCGGTGGATTGAGAGTACTGATGCGGGTGGCCACATACTGTCTTGCACTCATTCGGGGCATGATTCCTATTCTTTGACTGGTTGGCAGAGGGGCAGGGAAGTAAGCGTGAATATGAAAGACAGCACGGGGGAGGGTTTGGATTTATATGGTTTCCTTCTCCCGGTGTTCGCTGATTTGTGGAGCCTTGACTTGATTGGCACAGAGGGTGATATCTCCACCCTTCAGTAGAGGGCAGAATAACAAATCGACTCAGGGTGATAGAAGAAGGTGGCCTCCTCCTCCTCCAAATGTTACCACATTAGTCGGCTACAAGACCGTTATGCGGGATAAGTTCGCAGTCCACTGTACTCGTATCTTAAACACCTGATGCTCAGTGTAAGGTGTGCTTGCCCCCATCAGCATAACAGGTCCCGTATTGAGTGACGTATTCGCCTAGATGTGCTATCCGTTTCATAGTTTACTCATCCACGATACCAGTTCCCAACGGTGATGAAGATATTGGTACCCCCCCGTAGAGTTGAGGAGAAGATCACCAGTCCGAGGTAACGCAGATATGACGGCGCATCGCTCCATTTTGGGGTATGATGTTGAATGAGTTACTCGTAAACCGTCCTCCAAACTCGACCAAAGGCTTGATAAGCTAAGTAAACACCAATAAGTATCATCCGGAGGGTAAACCGAAGAGTAGAAGCAGATTTTTACCCTACATCCCTATTTTAATACGGGGGGCTGCGGAGAGGAGGGCAATCCTGCCCCACGAGTGATGGTGGAATGATGTGGAGAAGGGTGAGCTTTTTCCTTGCCATTTTCGACTGCAGGAGTTTTAATACTGCAGATACTGGGCGCATGTGCTAAGCTTGGCTAGTAAAAGTCTCGGCTAAAGCTTGTTTTTCTGCCAAGTGGTGGGCCGACTTAACCGATCGAATTTGCGGCGGTAACTTAGACTAGCCCTGGCTTGGCGATGGGAGGCGTCCTCTGATTTAACAGGACTTTGCGATATCATAGCAACATCATTTGAGTATGATAACATCTCCTGTAGCAGAGCTAACAGGTAACGCGCCGTAAAAACTCGTACTCCACTATCTCCGTCAGTTCTCTAACCCCCGCATTCAGAGCAAAAAACGCCTCAAGAAGGAATAGCATTTACCTATAGAGTATGAGTGCTCTACTCGTAGCAGACTCAGCGCAAACATGTCCGACGGATACAATAATAATATTACGAGGCCCTATAACCCGCCTCCATCAATACCTCACTGCCCCCCGATCCGCTCCCGACACCCGAGGTCCCTGGACAAGTGAGGTACGATATGATAGTTTCTAAATCTGAAGAGTGGAATGACTGTCGCTTTCCAATAGTGACCTCACTGCAAAAAGCTTATTCAAGAAACTTGAACTCCGGTGGACTGGCATGTGTACCTAGGTATGGAGGTTAGTGATGAGAAGGACAGGAGGCTCAAACTGCCAGATTCGGGGCTCCATGCACAATTCCAGCCAAATTAAATCATTTTTTAGACCCCCCAAACGGTATTGAGCACCTCCATCCACTCTATCACTAACCTCTGAGCACTGTAGAGAAGCCATGACGCTCACCTCCGCAAGTCATTGGCATGAGTGAGTTCACCTCCTATCTCTCCCGAAGGCTGTCCAGTCGCCACCACCGGCACCACTGCCCAGGAAGCTGTCTCGCAGTAAAAACCGAGTGCACACAAATGCTAAACCATCGTGTGCGCCATAGGAGCAAAATACCACCCCAAACAGCTGGTGAGCCGTCCCCAGATCAGTAATCCCAACCCATATTCTAGGGTATAGGTCTTAAAATCACCATTTGGAGTTATCAATCACGGTGAAAGGCCAACCTTATCCGTTAGGCAACGTTCTACGAGTACTCGATTAGTGTCGAGGACAGTGAGCTCGACAGTAAAGGTAAGTTAAGCCCTCGGAGCATCTGTTTTCACCTCGATGGCAACGTTTGCTCTCCGCAATAGAAAGCCCAGGGACGGAAGGGGCCCGGAGAAGTTCTGACGAAGTTTACATAATTCCGACAGCCCTTTTTTTTTTTATCATCATGTATTCTTTGTTAAGGTACAAGAACTCGCATGCAGCACTAGCTATGACATAAACAAAACCTTAATCCCAAAACAAATATAACAAAGGAAACCAAACCAGTGCCTACAACTGTCGCGAACAACCCATATCGCAAAATGCATGAAGCTTATATATGGAGAAAACCTCAACCTAAATGCAAGGTAACCAGCATAAAGGAAAATAAACAAGCAAAACCTTCTCAACAACTCTTAAGTGGAGCGGGACTGGACCTCTGAGGGGGCAGGTGTTAGGAAAACTGGGATCTGATGCCTAGGAACCACCCTAAGTAGGATAACCTCACTTGGAATTGGAATCTCCGGTCTCCAACACCCCCCTCCAGCCTCCTTAAGGGGCCCACATGTCATCATACATATCGATCTCAGTTGTGTCCTGTGACTATAATGTCACAGAATTGAAGGTGTAGGAATAACACTGTATATGTCACTGCTGTCAGTCTGACCAGATCCTGTTCTCAGGTTATATGAGAGGAGACCTTTGGCTAGGTCTGGGAAGTGGAATGGAGTACATCTGTCAACTATCCAGAGAGTTACTAGACTTTGAAGATGTGATGCCTTTGGTATAGGCCGTAAGCAATTGGACATTTTCTTACAAAGAGATGGTATCGAATGGTAAAAGATCTCAATGAGAAGCCAATACATAGGCACCTACCTTATAATAACCAGAAGAGTCTAGAACTTCGAGAAACACTATAACAGAAGTCAATAGACTTCACGGAGTGTTATAATTGGGTTCGGGGATGTACTAAAGTTGCGGGAATAATTCCTAATACTAGAACTGCAATTGAAATCCTGTTACCCAGAGCAATCAAGAGTTGCCAACCATGGGATTATCTGTCGATCTGGTAGAATAGCTTCCTGCAAATTAGTAGGAAGTCTTTCAGAAGAGATCTATCAGTTGGATATGGAGTTATGGAGGTTAGATGTTAGATGATCTAAGAAGGTTGCAATTATAGCTATCTTCACAGATACAACCCGCAGATGAAACTGATTATTTCATCAATGACAAAGACAATTGAGGCCAACTCAGTTCAACTTGAGAACTAGGCTATAAGTCTAAAGACTCTGATGATCGAATAATTACTATTGGGAACATCATAATTCCTTGTTAGCTATATCGTAATTACCGAAGAGGATGTGGTGGTTTTTAGGGTCTACAAGTGTTCGCACTTTTGAAAAATACTTGATGATATAAGAGAGGTACAGTCATGTCTGTAAAGTCTTCATACCCCAGTGCGGCAACGGTGTTGTCCTCCATCCCCATAACAACCACCTCTACTGTAACGTGTTCGCAAGGTGCTAATCACGTTATCGGTAGTAGATACGATAGTTGGCAGGTGGCCTGCTCTTCCAGAGAGGAGGCGAGAGCTGAGAACTAAAGGAGGTTTTGAGGGTGTACTGAGGAAACAAAGAAGTAACCATTCAACCAAGTATATTGAAATACTGTCTGTCGAAGTCTGCCTTTTCTATCGTAGAAACAGGCGGTCTTTAAATACACAAATCTGTTCATGTCCAGCATGAACGAAACTAATCAAAGGTATCAATCGATACACTTTGGTAAAGCTCTTTAAGTATCAAAGCGATACTTAAAACAAAACATAAAACAAAACCAAGTATCAAACGATACTTAAAACAAACCAAGTATCAAACGATACTTAAAACAAACCAAGTATCAAACGATACTTAAAACAAACCAAGTATCAAAGTGATACTTAAAACAAAACATAAAACAAAACCAATAACCGAGTACCCGTACCGGTTACATCTACCATGACCCCCCCACATACCAGAAGAGCTAGAGAAGATCAAAATAAGGAAATTTATACCCTGTATAAATATACTGATATGGGGTATAATAAAATTTCTAAGGTTATAGGTATCTCTAAGGCAATGATTCAATCAGTAGTCAAAAGAGCTGAATCAAGAGATGGAAATACCCATGATGCCCCCAGATCTGGAAGACTAACAACACTTACCCCTCAAAAAAAAAAGATAGTGGAGTCTATTATTGATGCTGAGCCTCATTTAGCATTATGCGACATTATCAAAAAAGCAAATATTGGTCTGGGAAAGACATCTGTAGATAAGATTATATTAGAAGCTAGTTTTAAGCTTCTGATACCTAGAAAAAAACCTTTTTTGGAGGAAAGGACAGAAGGAGAAGAGAAAGGAGTTTGCTAGGAGAAGGAGGAATTGGAGGGGTGCATGAAATTCGGTTGTTTTTGTGGATAAAGCCACCATTATCTATGATCCAAATCCTACTGGCAGGAAGGTCAGTGTTAGACCTGGTGAAGAGCTGGAAGAAAAAAACTTGAAGCCTAGCTTTAAGTCTGGGAGGACTAGTATTGGGGTCTATGCTGCAATCATGAAGGGTGGCAGGACTGAGTTAATTCTTGTGAGGAAGAGGGGGGAGGAAGAAAGGACCAGTAGAAGAGACAGACTTGGCCTCAATTCCCACCAATATGCAACTGAAATCCACCAGCCATACCTCACTCCTTTTATAGAAGGTCTGGATAGACCTTCTGACAACATCTACCTAGCAGCAGACAATGCCTCCTGGCATGGTAGTGAGGAAAACAGAAAATTGCAGTCAGACTCTGGTTATCAAAAATTACCTTGGCCACCCAACTCACCAGATCTCAATCCTATTGAGAACACTTGGGCTCTGCTCAAAAGAGCCCTCAGAAATCGATTCTCCAGGTTGGATAGGAGGCCTCACAGTGCTGTTGAATTATTTCAGGCAGCAAAAGAGGAATGGGATTTAATTTCCCAAGAGAAGTTGGATGGGTGGATAGATAGGATGCCTGAGAGAATACAGGCTGTACTAGATGCAGATGGTGGTCATACGAAGTGGTAATAATATTTTCTTAAGGCTTATTAGTTCTATTCATATACTTTTCTTAATTGAGTTGTTTGAATTTTTTTTCAATTTTCCCTGGAGAGGTGTTGGGGTTGTGTAGTTGTGCCACCAGGGTATGAAGACTTTACGGACATGACTATACATAGTTGTATAATAGATAGATGTAGTCTGCAAACACTCAGATGCGGAATATAAATATTGAAGTGTCTCCCAAGCTTTTAGATATCATCAAGCAACAGAGAAGAGGCTTTAACAATATAATATTGTTTTCACAATTCTATTTTACTTTACCTACTTTACTTCACTCTTAGTAGTCATAAATAAAACCACTGAAATCAGAGCCTTCCTAGACAATTTCCATCTACAGAAACGAATCTTGATTGGCCTAGAAAACTCTGAAGTCTATCAGGTTGTCTCTACATAACAGCTGAACCAGGGATGGTAAAGGGATAAGGTGATTGATCCTTGTATGCAGGCATCTTAGGGGGAAATCCTGTGGAGGTGGTAGAGATATAGATGGCCATACCATGCAGTAGAGCCAGTGAGGACTATAGGGGCTCTTATTTATTCAGGCTCTCAACTCCAAGGATGTGGAGATCTCTGGTTCGATTGTAAGAAGAGCCGGTGAGGATGGCATGGTGGAAGGTTTCAGACTCTATCTTGCAGTAGGGGCAGAGATTGGAGGCATCTGGGTCCTACTAGGAGTGGTCACCTGCCAGGTAACTCTTATCCAACCTCGTCTGGTGG